TGCCTGCTTCGGCCTCCCGAAGTGCTGGGATTACAGGTGTGAGCCACTGCGCCTGGCCACCATAGAAGGTTTTAATCTGGTTGGTGGCATGGTCAAATTCACATGGTGCAAAGATTGTCCAGCTGCTATGTGGGGATGAGCTGAGGCAGCAGGGAGGTGTGCTGGGGCCTCCCCAGGTGTAGGTAGGGTGGTGAGGGTGACCATTTAAGAGGCTGGCATTGGGTCAGGCGCAGTGGCTCACACCTGTAATCCTAGCACTTTGAGAGGCCGAGGTGGGTGGGTCACCTGAGGTTAGGAGTTCGAGATCAGCCTGACCAATATGGTGAAGTCTCATCTCTAGTAAAAATACAAAAATTAGCCGGACATGGTGGCGGGCACCTGTGGTCCCAGCTATGCAGGCGGCTAAGGCAGGAGAATTGCTTGAACCCGGGAGGTGGAGGTTGCAGTGAGCAAAGATTGTGCCACTGCACTCCAGCCTGGGTGACAGAGCCAGACTCCATCTCAAAAAAAAGAAGCCTGCATTGAAGGGCAGGATCAGTGAGGCTGGCGTGTAAACTTCTCCAGGTAGTGTCTGAAAGGTCAGGGTAGGTAGCAGATCTCCGGACTTTTCCAGGTAGGACAGGAGTGCACAGAGGCCCCCAAGGAGAGCTAGGTGGGCAGCCAGGGTCTGAGCCCCCTAGGATCTGGAGGGCTGGGCAGGGAAACTGAGGCCAGAGCCCAGGCTAAGCCGGCATGTTCAGCAGTGGGGATTGAAGCTCACAGGTCACCCCATGAGGTGGGCCTTCTCCCCATCTTCACCGGAGATTCACACAGAGGTCTGGAGGTGCCTGGGTGCTGACTTGGCACTCTGGGTCCACCCAGCTACCCCCAGAGAAGCCTGGGTGACTTCTGAGACTCCCCTGCTTAAGGGCCATGGTGGCTGCTCCTGTCCGGGGATCACTGAAGGCCCTAACTTCCTCCTCCTGTCCCACTCCTTCCTTCCTTTTGAGCTGCTAGACCCCCTGACTGTGTGGGCTGGGAGGGGCTGGGGAGTTTCCTGAGAAGCCCTGGACTGTCCTCACCTCAGCCTGAGTCACACTGAGAGCTCAGCAAGGATTCCTTGAGCATCTGTGAGGTGCCAGGCACTGGGGAGCTCATGGTGGATGAATGAGGTACAAGCTCTGCCCTCATGGAACTGGAGCTGGCATCTTTTTTTTTTTTTTTTTTTTTTTTTTGAGACAGAGTCTTGCTCTGTCACCCAGGCTGGCATGCAGTGGCATGATCTCAGCTCACTGCAGCCTCCTCCCGGGTTCAAACAATTTCCTGCCTCACCTCCCAAATAGCTGGGATTACAAGTGCCCACCATCACAACCGGCTAATTTTTGTATTTTTAATAGAGATAGGGTTTCACCATCTTGGCCAGGTTGGTCTTGAACTCCTGAGCTCGTGATCCACCCACTTCGGCCTCTTAAAGTGTTGGGATGACAGGCATGAGCCACCGCATCTGGCCAGGAGCTGGCATTCTAATCAGGAGGTTGGGAGGGACAGATACTGAACCATATATGTGACACCCACCATATATGTGAATGATGATAATTACACATGGGGAAACCAGAGGTGGGGAAGGGACATGGGGCGAGAGAGAGAGAGAGTGTGTGTGTGTCTGTGTGTGTATCAGGCATTGTGAATTCTAAATTGAGTGAACATGAGATCCCAGCAGAGGCCAGGAATGGTGGCTCACGCCTATAATCCCAACACTTTGGGAGGCAGAAGCGGGCAGATCGTTTGAGCACAGGAGTTCAAGACCAGCCTGGGCAACATGATGAAACTCTGTCTGTACAAAAAAATACAAAAATTGGCCAGGCATTGTGGCATGCACCCTAGGGAGGCTGAGGTACGAGGATCACTTGAGCCTGGGAGGTTGGGGCTACAATGAGCTATGATCATGCCACTGTACTCCAGCCTACAACAGAGTGAGTGAGACAGTGTCGCCAAAAAAAAAATTAAAAAAATACCAGCAGAGGGACCAGCCAGTGCAAAGGCCCTGGAGAGAAGCGTGCATCCTGTGCACTGAGGAACGGTGGGTGTGGCTGGGGCAGGGAGAGCACAGGGGAGCCAAGCAGGGCTAAGGTCGGAGAGGGGATGCTGAGGACACTTTTTGCAGCACTTTGTGGGCCATGGTGACGATTCTGGCTTTACTCCAATGAGCTGTGGGAGGGTCCTGAGCGAGCCATGATGTGAGCTGACTTAGCACAGCTGCCCTGTGTCACCCAGGAGGAAAGTGAGGCACAGAAAGCTTCACTGACCTACCAGAACCCCACAACTAGTGAGCGAGACCGCCCCCAAAAGGCCCCAGGTGTTTCTGGCACCAAGGTACATGTACTTTCCATTTCTCCACATTGTCCCCAAGACACACCCCAGTCCTGCCAGAATGTGTCAGGGGCTGAGCTGACCTGTGAGGTCGGCCCCACAGACAGCTCAAGGAACCAGGACCTAGACCCGGGCTTTTGCCCCCTGCTGTCCACCAAACTGGATAACACTCATTCTGATACAGCACGTGTTTACAGGATGCTACAGCTCAGGTCGAAATGCATCTTCCTTTGTTTTCTTTTTATTTATTTATTTTTTTGAGATAGAGTCTCAACCTCTGTCACCCAGGCTCCCAGGCTGGAGTGCAATAGCGCAATCTCGGCTCACTGCAACCTCCACCTCCCGGGTTCAAGCAATTGTCCTACCTCAGCCTCTTGAGAAGCTGGGACTACAGGCGTGCACCACCATGCCTGGCTAATTTTTGTATTTTGGTAGAGACAGGGTTTTGCCATGTTGGCCAGGCTGTTCTTGAACTCCTGGCCTCAGGTGATCCGCCTGCCTCAGCTTCTCAAAGTACTGGGATTACAGGCGTGAGCCACCACTCCCGGCCTGTCTTCCTTAGTTTTCCTTGGCTTCTTACCACTGCCCCCTCACCTTGGAGACTGTCAGAGGAGAAAACTCAGGTTCACAAGGAATGGCGGAGCAGATCCGATCAGCTAGGGACAGAGAGGACTGCTGCTGTAAAGGGACCTTTGGGAGATGGTCCCCTTCTCCAGCTCAGAGTGATGACCACTGACCCCTAGAATATACCCTCCACGAGTTTTTTTCACCTTTGTCTCCCCATTGCCAAGCACATGTTTGGCAAAGAGTAGCTGCTCAATAAATAGTTGCTGAAGAAGCATGTGACTTGTCAGGCCTGTAGAAGGAGGGATTAGGAGGTGAGAGGCCCTCAGTGGTCTAGGGCTGGCTGCCCCATCTGCCTAGGGCATGCTGAGTTAGTGCTGAGCAGCCCCCAGGTAGTTAGGGAAGCTTTCCCAAAACACAGGTCTAGATGAAGGAGGACTGGGGAGGAGGGGACTGGCTGATGTTGTATCTTACGGGGTGCCCAATGGACTCTGTGAAAAGGCATTTACTGGTGCACATATGCTGTGTGTACTTTTCTGTATATAGGTTATACTTTAAGAAAACTTCCGAAAAATTAGGATGGGAGCGTTGGCTCATGCCTGTGGTCCCAGCACTTTGGGAGGCTGAGGCGGGTGAATAATGAGGTCAGGAGATCGAGATCATCCTGGCTTACACAGTAAAACCCCGTTTCTATTAAAAATGCAAAAAATTAGCTGGACATGATGGCATGCACCTGTAGTCCCAGCTACTCGGGAGGCTGAGGCAGAAGAATTGCTTGAACCCGGGAGGCGGAGGTTGCAGTGAGCCGAGATCATGCCACTGCACTGCAGCCTGGGTGACAGAGCAAGATTTTGTCAAAAAAAAAAAAAAAAAAAGAAAAGTTCTGAAAAATTGGCCAGGCACAGTGGCTCACACCTGTAATCCCAGCACTTTGAGAGGCCAAGACGGATGGATCACCTGAGGTCAGGAGTTTGAGACCAGCCTGGGCAACATGGCAAAACCCCATCTCTACTATAAGTACAAAAAATTAGCCAGGTGTGGTGGCATGAGCCTGTAATCCTAGCTACTCAGGAGGCTGAAGCAGGAGAATCGCTTGAACCCAGGAGGCGGAGGTTGCAGTAAGCCAAGATCGAGCCACTGCGCTCTAGCCTGGGCAACAGAATGAGACTCTGTTTCAAAAAAAAGTTGTGAAAATCAAATCAAATGCACATGTCCACGCTCCATGTGGAAGAATGATCAGGAGAGGAGCGTCTGTCCATTTGGTGCACACTCACTGAGCCATCTGTTATATACCAGGCACTTGTTTAGGCATAGTGATGCCATGGTGAGACAGGGAAGGCCTCTGCCTTCATGGGTTTCTGTTTCGGGGGAGGAGGGGTGGAAAGGAGAAACCAATTATAGATGAGGAAGCAAGCGTGAGAAATGAGAAGAAGTGACTATTACAAGGGTTCACCGTTGGGGTGATGTGATGTGCACAAAGAGGCATTTAGCCATAATGGTCAAAGAAGACCTCTTAGGCCAGGTGCAGTGGCTCACGCCTATAATCCAAGCACTTTTGGGAGGCCGAGGCGGGAGCATCACCTGAGGTCGGGAGTTTGAGACCAGCCTGACCAACATGGAGAAACCCTGTCTCTACTAGAAATACAAAAATTAGCTGGACGTTGTGACATCCGCCTGTAATCCCAGCTACCTGGGAGGCTGAGGCAGATGAATCCCTTGTGCCCAAGAGGCGGAGGTTTTGGTGAGCTGAGATTGCGCCATTGCACTCCAGCCTGGGCAACAGAGTGAGACTCTGTCTCAAAAAAGAAGAAGACCTCTTGAGGTGACATTGGGCAAAGGCCTACATGATGAGGAGTCACTATGGGGAGATAGAACAGTAAAGAGAACAGCATGTGCACAAGTCCAGAGACTGGAATGAGCCTTAAGGAGGCCACTGTGACTGGACCAATGTGGAGAGAGGAAGGTGGTAGGTATGAATCAGTTCTAAGAGAGCAGGGGCCTTGAATGCCAACGTAGTGAGTTTGCATTTTATTCCAAATGGGAAAACAAAAACAAACAAAGCGACTTTGGCCTCCTTTCTACTCTAGGTCTGCAGCCCAGAGGGCACCTCCTGCAAACATGTCTGTGGATCCCTTATCCAGCAAAGCTCTGAAGGTGAGGAGGCAGCCTCCGTCAACCCAGGGAAGCCCTCCCTCCCTACCCCTGCAGAGCTCCTCATCCCAGCTTCCCCTTCTTTCATGGAACCCCCTGGGTGGCTCAGCAGGCATCAAACCTTCATGATGCCAAAGCGGGGGCCACAGCCACAGACTGGGACGAGGAGGCCTGGGCTCTGGTCACAGGCTCCGTGTCCCTGCGGTAGGTCACTTCCCTCTCCAGGCCTCCCTCTCCATCTTGTCAATGTCCCCCGGGGCATTCAAAGGTGGTTTCCAGGCTGGGTTTCTCTGGCCGAGTCCAGGGCTTGGCGCTAGGTTAGAATCCAGGCTGAGCCCCGGGATGGCCTCCTTTTGTGTTTTCCTATCCTAGTTTGGCCCGGTTTTCCCTTTCCTGATTCCTGCTACCCTTTGGGGTTTGGAATCAAGTCCAGCCACCAACTCAGCGGCTAAGGCGGTGAAGGAGGAACACTGGGGGTGGAGGGGGGGCCGTCCCCAGTCCCTGGGCCTCAGTTTCCCTATACCTGCAGATCAAGCGCGAGCTGAGCGAGAACACGCCACACCTCTCGGACGAGGCGCTTATGGGGCTGTCGGTGCGCGAGCTGAACCGGCACCTGCGCGGGCTCTCGGCCGAGGAGGTGACACGGCTCAAGCAGCGGCGCCGCACACTCAAAAACCGCGGCTACGCCGCCAGCTGCCGCGTGAAGCGCGTGTGCCAGAAGGAGGAGCTGCAGAAGCAGAAGTCAGAGCTGGAGCGCGAGGTGGACAAGCTGGCACGAGAGAACGCCGCCATGCGCCTGGAGCTCGACGCGCTGCGCGGCAAGTGCGAAGCGCTGCAGGGCTTCGCGCGCTCAGTGGCCGCCGCCCGCGGGACCGCCACGCTCGTGGCGCCAGCCAGCGTCATCACTATCGTTAAGTCCAACCCAGGATCGGGGTCTGGCCCCGCCCCCGGTCCGGACCCCGTTCCCGGCCCGGCCTCCTGCTCCTAGTGCCTGCCCCTTCCACCTCCCCAGCCACGCCCCTCCCGCCCCAGCTCCCTCCCCAAAGTGCCTGAGTGCCGGCTCTGTACCCAGGTCCCATTTCTCTGTAGCACCGGCCCCTTGGTGCACACACATTCCCTCCCTGGGCCCTGTCTTCCTCTTGCAGCCCCCAAAACTGGGACCGAATGGCCCTGGGAAGAGGAACTTTGGTAGGTTGGGGATGGGGCAGAGCTCGGGATCTGGGATCGCCCTTGGCTGAAAGTTTAGCCTTTTTAGATTGAGAGACACGGAGCCAGCTTAGAGAACAGCTGTTGGGGGAGAAAAGGGCACCCCTTATCTTGGAAACTGCTTTGGTTGTGCCAGTATGCTCTCCAAACCCTCCCAGGATTCCAAGCTAGATTTGGCTATCTGTGACTTGTGGGGCCGTCCTGGTGAGAAATTGCACTGAAGAGATGCCCCCACCTCTGCTTTGGGCCTGGCCTTCCAAAACTAAAAGAGTGGGTAGGAAGTCTAGTAAAACCCAGTTCGCAGATGGCCCGAGGTCATATATCACTTAGCGATTGTGCCGGTTCCAAAACCTGGGTTTCCTTACTGCTGCCCTAAGATTCCAGCCATGGTTTTCAGGGGGACAGAGGGCAAGGACTCAGAAAGGTGATGGGAGGGCCTCCCTGGCCTGGGAGACCTCTCTCTGCAAGAGAGGGGGAGAGAAGCAGAGGGAGAGAGAAGGTGACAGGGATGGAAGAGTGGGAAGGAGCTGGCCTGGCTCAGCCCTAGGCTCTCCCTGCAGCCAGGATGTCAGGGGCTGGTCAGACAGAGTAAAGGCGCCATGGACTGCTGTGGCAAGTGGGGAGGCAAGAAGTCAGACCCTGCGGTCTGACTACAGCCTGGAGTGGGGTCCTTAGAAGAAGGGTCCCAGCTCGACCCATCAGTGCCCACTGTGGGGTGGGGGCTGACCCCTGCCTTTGATTGTCACCCTCCTGGGAACCCCAACCTTAGTACCTCCCCCCGCACTGTCCACACTGCCCCTCCCCACTGTTTTATTTATTGCACGGATCTAAGTTATTCTCCCCAGCCAGAGCCTGAGCTCCTGCTCCCTGGGAAAAGTGGCATATGGGCTGGACTTTATATTTTATATCTGCAATAAATCACATTTTATCTTATATTTAGGGAAAGCCGGATAGCAGCAAAAAAAATGTTTAAGCCGGGCTCGGTGGCTCATGCCTGCCCAGCACCTTGGGAGGCCATGGAGGGTGGATCGCTTGAGTCCAGGAGTTTGAGACCACCCTGGACAACATGGTGAAACCCCGCCTCTACAAAAAATACAAAAATTAGCTAGGCGTGGTGGCTCACGCCTGTAGTCCCAGCTACTTGGGAGGCTGAGGCAGGAGGAGCGCTTAAGCCCAGAAGGCAGAGGTAGTAGTGAGCTAAGATTGCACCACTGCACTCCAGCCTGGGCAACACAGCAAAACCCTGTCTTAAAAAAAAAAAAAAAAAAATTGCCCGGCTCCTAGAATTTATTTATTTCCTGACTTACAGCAAGCGAGTTATCGCCTTCTGTATTTTGTAGACTTTCTAAATAAAGTCTAATTCCTTTTCCACAGAGAATAAGTCTGTGTCCTGGGCTATGTTTTGTTGGGGAGGGGTGTCTAAGATGGCATTCTGCTTTCAAACCCTTGGGGCCTCTGGTGGTGGGGAGGCCAGTGCCCATCTCCAGCTGTTGCACAGGACATGAGGTGGGGTAGAGGCGGCAGCAGAGACCAGTGGTGCCGAAACTTCGATGCTTCCTTTTTGGTTGCTTAGAGCCCAGGAGCTCCTAGGGACGACAAAGCCATGATCATGATGAAATTTAGGGCTAGATTCTGGCTGAGCATGGTGGCTAACACCTGTAGTTCCAGCACTTGGGGAGACTGAAGCAAGAGGATCTTTGAGACCAGGAGTCCAGGACCAACCTGGGCAACATAGTAAGACCCCATCTCTCCAAAAACATAATTAGCCACGTGTGGTGGTACATGTGTCTGTTGTTCCAGCTACTGGAGAAGCTGAGATGGGAGGATCACTTGAGGCCAGGAGTTTGCTACCAGCCTGGGCAACACAGCAAGACCCCCATCTCTACAAAAAATTAAAAAGAAAACAGGCCAGGCGAGGTGGCTCACACCTGTAATCCCAGCACTTTGGGAGGCCGAGGCAAGTGGATCATTTGAGGTCAGGAGTTCGAGAACAGCCTGACCAACATGGTGAAACCCTGTCTATTAAAAATACACAAAAATTAGCTGGATATGGTGGCACATGTCTATAGTCCCAGCTACTCAGGAGGCTGAGGCAGGAGGATTGCTTGAACCTGGGAAGCAGAGCAACCTCTACTCGGGAGGCAGCGAGCCAAGATCACGCCACTGAACTCCAGTCTGGGTGACAGAGCGAGACTCCATCTCTAAAACAAAATAAGAAAACAATTAGCCAGGCATGTTGGTGTAATTGAGCCCATGAGCTCAAGGCTTCGGTGAGCTATGACTGCACCACTGCACAAGCCAGCTGACAGAGTCCCTGTCTCAAAAGAAAGAAGTTTGCCGGGCGCAGTGGCTCACACCTGTAATCCCAGCACTTTGGGAAGCCGAGGTGGGTGGATCACCTGAGGTCAGGAGTTCAAGACCAGCCTGGCTAACATGGTGAAACCCCATCTCTATTAAAAATACAAAAATCAGCCGGGCCTGGTGGCACGTGCCTGTAGTCCCAGCTACTTGGGAGGCTGAGGCAGGAGAATTGCTTGAACCCAGGAGGCGGAGGTTGCAGTGAGCCGAGATCGCGCCAATGCACTCCAGCCTGGGTGACAAAGAGAGACTTCGGAAAAAAAAAAAAAAAAGAAATTTAGGGTTAAATTCCCTGGACATCCCTTTAGTGAGCAGACAGTCCCACCCAGAGAGGAAAAAAAAAACAGATTTCGGAGTAATCTTTCCAGCACTTTCACATTGAGGTCTGATTTTTTACAGCAAGTAGAAACTACCTTCCCCATGTTTTGGAAGACCCAGGGAGGCAAGGAGAGTTCCTTTCCCAGCCCCTATCTGCAGGCCTAAACCATAACCCTGTCTTGTCCTAGCCCTCAAACTCACTAATTTCAACCCAATCTGCCAGCCCTTCTGGGGCACCCTGAAGGAGGAGTGGAGTGTACTGTGGTCTGTGGGTCACGGCAACTGGGGTTTGAATCCAGGTGTCTTTTCTTTCTTCTTTCTTAATCCAGGTGTCTTGTTTTTCTCTCTTTTCTTTTTTTCTTTCTGACGGACTCTTATTCCGTCACCAGGCTGGAGTGCAGTGGTGTAATCTCAGCTCACTGCAACTTCTGCCTCCCAGGTTCAAGCAATTCCCCTGCCTCTGCCTCCCGAGTAGCTGGGACTACAGGCTCGTGCCACCACGCCCGGCTAATTTTTTTGTATTTTAGTAGAGAGGGGGTTTCACCATGTTGGCCAGGATGGTCTCCATCTCCTGACTTTATGATCTGCCTGCCTCAGCCTCCCAAAGTGCTGGGATTGAAAGTGTGAGCCACTGCACCCAGCCTAGGTGTCTTTACTTATCTGTGGGATCTTTGGTACTTACTTGGTTTCTTACAGCCTGAGTTTACCCATCTGTAAAACGAAGGTGCTATGCGGCATAGGCATGAAAAACCCTGGGGGCCTGTGGGGCTGCGAGTTTTAACACTCAGAACACACATTTACAGTGGCACAGACCTAGGCGAGGCCAACTGTGTGGCTGGGTATGGGGCCGGCGGGGTCAGGGACCAGTTGGGTGAAAGTGCAGGATTTGAGTCCGGGAAAGGGCCAAATTGCGTAGTGTCAGCCTTATCCACGGGGCTTTCTCCCTTTCTCAGGTTGGGGCTCGGTGCTTTCCCTGCCAAGCCTGTGACCCTGAAATGCTGAGCTCAGGCCTTCGGGAAGGGCAGCAGGAAGCTGCGGGAGGACTCAGGCTATTTACCTCCCTCTGGAGGCTGGTGGGAATTCCCCCACCCACGCTGCATTCCTGAGTGCTCCCGTCAGCAGCAGGCTAGGCCCCAAGAAGGCATGCGGTACCGGAGAGGCCAGGCACTGTGCCCACGGCCAGCAGCCCCCTGCCCCAGGCTCCCCGGCCAGAGGACAGTCCCAGGGCGGCAGGAAGATCGTCTGGAAGGGGAATCCCAGGAAATCCTGGGAGATGCCTGCAGGAGCCGGGCTGCCAGCATGTGGGCCCCATCGACTTGACTGATCAAACAGGAAAGGAGCATCGTCCACCTGTGCCAAGCCGTCCAGGGGTGGCAGCTGGCTGGGGGTTGGGGAGACCCTTTGTTCAAGGGGGGCCTGGGCCTTGACCTTGGTCCCTGTCCATCCAAACCCCCATCACTTAGAGGTTACACACAAGAAGGAGAGGGTTTCCTAAGCCGCCCCTGCCCAAAGCCACTCCACCCACCCGAACCCTAGACAGTGGCAGGGAGGAGGAAGGAAAACCTCACCACAGGCAGAGATTTCAATACAATATATATTATCTCGTATATATATTTCTTCCTCACTTTATTTGCTCACTTCTGTCACGCATTTAAAATGTCACAGAGACCAAAATAGAGTGGCTTTCTGGTGGATCTCATGGCAGTCATACAACGAGATACAAAACTAGGGGACTCTGTCTTCTCATACATCATACAATTATTTTTTCAAGTATTTTTTATGTACAAAGAGCTACTCTATCTGGAAAGAAAATTAAAAAAAAAATAAAAAGACAAGGTAGGTTATGCATCCTAGGAAGGAGGGAATGGAGCGGTCGGGCACGTGTTCCCATCCCCTGTCCCCAGGGACCGCTGATTCCCGGCCACCGAGCTCTCCTCATCCCCACCCTCCACGAGGACAGCAACGCTGGGGCAGGCAAAGACCAAGGGAGTGAGAGTCAGCAGCACTTTGGCCTAGAGGGAGAAGGGAAGCCGCGTCGGAGAGACAGCTTGGTGACAGCGGACAGTGCGGCAGGGCCAGGGCTGTTCCTCACCCTGTGTCTACACCCACCCTCCCGGGCAGCTTGGGGCCAACTGGTCAGGGCCCCCCAGATGGAGGGGGAGAGTTGGCGGCCGGCATCCACATGCAAACCTCTGCCACGAGGGAAGGAAGGAGGCCAGGAAGACGGCCAGGCCCTGACTCTCCTCACAGATGGCAGGAAGGGAGCCTGTTCATTCCAGGAAGGACCAGAAGAATCCCCAGTGAACACGGGCAGGGTCCTTCTCCCTCACCCTACCGGCTTCTCGAGGCAACTGTGGCCAAAACCCAGGGATAATCTGGGCTTTAAATGCCAGGACAGGAGGCTCTTCCTAAGTCAGGAGCTGGTATAAGCCCAGCTTGCTGGGGGCTCCGGCTCCAGAGGCCCCAGGTCTAGAGGTGTGGAGGAGAGAGGAGGGCCTTGGTGGTCCTGACCACTCTTGAGGCCTGTCCGAGGGTTCTGCCCAGCACTGCAGGATCCGGTGAGCGCTAACAGCTGAACTAGGAGCCCCAGGGCGCATGTGGGACAGACAGGGAGGCAGGGAGGGGCGCTTTCATATGTGACTAAGGCACAGAAGAGATGGGCCAGGGGCCGGATGGGGCAGAACACCAGGCCCTGTGTGGATGGGGGCCCCGGAGGGAAGTCTGGGATCACTCCCCCTACCTCCCAGCTCCCCACCGCGCAGCCACCCCTTCCGGCCTCTCTGCCGCACTGCCTTCCTCCGGAAGCTGGTCTGAAATGAGGAGACTCAGATCTTTCCCCTGAAACGAGAGGGAGAAGCCCCAGGGAGAGACCAGAACCCAGTATCAGCCTGGGAAGGAGGGCTGGGAGCCCCTGACCTCTGGAGCAGCCAGGAAACAAGGGTTCTGCCCAAAACTCTCAAGGACCCAAGTGAGCCGGTGGTGCGGGCTGTGGGCTGTCCTTGGTAGGCCAGGGGGAAGGGGCCTGAGGCAGACAGAGGTGCGGCCACGACGAATGGGGACACCCAGGGGCCTCTGCTTCAACAGAAGCGGTGCCCAGAAGCCCCTGAATGCCCTTCCTGGGTGAGGCCTGTTTCTCCTGGTGTCTGGCTCTGATCCTTGCAGCATGCCAGGGAGGCCTGGGTCAGGAGGGAAGGACCACAGAGCGCCCACATCCCTGCTCCTGCCCGGGATGAAGTGACTCTAGCACTGGACAAAGGTGAATGGGAAGGGAAGCAGGCGGGAAGAGCCCAGGGCAGACAGAGTATTGCACGGTGTGGGGGGACCAAGGTTTGCCAACCTCAGCCTGAGACTTACGGGGAGGAGAGGCTAGAAGGCTGCAGCTGCTGGTCCACACACAAGCATTGGGGCCTGGGTGTGGCTGGTCCCCGCATGCCCCCAGCACAGAATGAGCAGCAGGGACCTGAGCCTTGCTCCCAGTGTCCTCTGCCCTCGCCCGGGCAGTGCAGGGTGGGCCGTGTATAAATATTCCTGAAGGCCCGTGGGTGAGCCTGGCTGTCCCCCATTCCTCTGGAAGCGACGTGTGTGTTTCTGGTCCAATAAATAAAGGGCGGCATGAGCGCAGTGCCAACTGCCTCCTGGCCTGGTGGTGAGGCTGGAGGGGGGCACAGCCTGACCATGGCTACGGCCCAGCACTTCCGCCACCGCAGCCCGCACCTAGAACTCATCGTCAGAGCTGAGCAGCAGAGTCTTCTCGTTGTCTCGGGCGCCACTGAGGCTGTGGGATCGGGAGAGGCCGTGGGCACCACCACGCCAGGTGGGCCCAGGCTCCAGGGTGGACTGCTGCGTGTACTGCTGGTAGGCAGGGGAGAAGTTGTGGATGGCGTCCTGCACAATGTCGTGCGGGTTCATGGTCTCCTTGAGGCTGCTGGAGATGCTCTTCATGGGTGCGCAGCGGCCTGCCGGGCAGGAGGCGGGAGGGGCGGGTGAGGAGGCTGGGGTGGAGAGGGAGGTGGCTCAGCCCCTGCCCAGGATCCTGGGATAGAACCTCCTAACCCAAAGCTGCAGTCTTCAACCACCCCTTCTGGGATGGAGAATGGGGTCCAGGATATGAGAAGGGGCAGGGAAAAAATAGACTCCTTTGGCTGGGGAGCCCCCAGGGGAGCTCAGGTGTGAAGAGGAGCAGACATAAACCCCCACTGGGAGCTGGGCCGGCTAGGCTAGGAGCAGGGACCCGGGCAGGAGACTGGCAAGCTGTGGGCAGTGAGCCTGGAATGCCCCAGAGAGGCCAGGGCAGGCTCAGCACCGACAAGTCAAGGCGTATGGGGCCAAAGGGCCTAGGGCCTGGAAGCCCGGGGTGCCCAGTTCCACAGGTGCCAGGTGTGTCCCCCTCCACTTGGGCAGTGCTGTGCTCCCTCCACTCTGGGGAGTGGGTCAGGGGCTGGCCCCATCAGGACCAGGCTGGCCTGCACCCCTAGGGGAGCAGATGTGACTCACTGGATCCCTCTAAGAGGGTTTCCTCCTCATCTTCTCCCATGCATCATCCCTGTCCCACCGGCTCTGATGGGAAAAGTGGCCCAGGCCGCAAAACCTAGATGTAAGGGATGAGCCCAACTCTGGAACCCAGGATTCCCGACTCAGCTTGTGAGCCCTTGGAAACATTGTGAAACGCCCCTATATCCCGTGAACCAGCACGGTGCCCCCAGAATAGGGCGGGGCATGTTCTAGCAAGAGAGACCAGGATGGAAGCAGGCAAGCTCTACAGAGGGTGGCCCTGGGCACTCCCACCCAGGGGTGCTGGTGGAGAGGAGGACATAGAGAAAGAGCTACAGAGAGAGGCATGCCAGTGACAGTGACCAGAACTGACATGCAGGACAGACATGCAGACCAAGAGCGCGACCTACCGTAAGGGCCGTATGTTGGCACTGCCCATGGCCAAACCCCGGGCAAAAGCAGGGCAAGGGGGACAGGGAGAGAAGCCAAAGAAATAGAGAAGACAAGAGACAGCTGAGTGAACATGTGCCCACCACCAAGGCCCACCAGCACGACACACCACACACCCTGTCCCCGCCCCCGACTCCCCAGGACACCCCGGAAGCTCCAGGTGTCTCCGGGGCCTGGCGGGGGGATATCTACCTAGGGATGACTGCCCTGGTGTTCACGCCAAGAGGAAATATCCGCTTAGTGGCTGAGTTCTGCCTCCATGTCTAGGTCAGGACATCCCATCCCCACTTCTTCCCAGGCTAGCCTGGGGCCACATCCACACCCCACACTTTACAAACCTCACAACACTTCCCAGACCAGGACATGGAGGCTTGGAGGGAGGGTTACTTGTGTTGACCGCACAGCTGAGCCAGCTCTGCACCCAAGCCTATCCTGAGGGCTGAGGGTCTGGGCTGGGTTAGAGGGTAGCAGGGGGCCCAGGAGCAGCAGGGAGGCAGGAGAGGGAGAACAGCTTCCCTGCCAGGGTGCAGGTGTGGCTGGGAGGCGGTGTGTGGAGGAGCAGCTCAGGGGGGGCAGCAGAGACCCTCTGCTGAGCCCCAACAGTGGAAGAATGGTTCTCTGCCATGGCCCCTTGCTCTCTGGGGTGGCCCCGGGCCCAAGGATGATGGTCCCACGGGCACAGGGTATGCCAGACCAGGTCCAAGGGTACAATGCCCTCAATGCTGGTGGATGTTCACCTGGGCCATCAGCTGGCAGGCCCTGGCCTTTGTGTACCTCCTCCTCGGCCACAGGGTAGGTCTTCCCCAACCAGGGAAGGCAGAGGAAGCGGGGTGGGAAGTGGACCACGGAGCCCTGCTTCAGGCAGACATTTCTACCATCCATGCCACCCACCACGAGGCCTGTGTGGGGCCTCTGGGTAGGCCCTGGGGAAGTGGGTTTCTTGCCTCCAGCCACTTCGGCAGACAGCTGGCAGCAAAAAGGCTTCTGGGTGGATGTGTCAGGGAAGAAAGCTCCCCTCTCCCCAGTCCCCCTGGCTCCCTCGCTGGCTCTGTCAGTCTTAGGCATTCCCAGCCTCCTCTTCCTCATCCTCCAAGGATAAGTCCCTCTGCCTGGCAGCCACAGGCAGCTCTTCTGGCCCACTGCATCCCGGTAGCAGCACATTCTCATCATCCTGGGAGCGCTTAAAGCACAGAGCTCTCACAGCACACCCAGCCTGCCAGCCCAGATCCATCACAGCAGACTCTCCCAGGGTGGAGCTGGGTATCAGCACTTTCAAGAGCTCTCCAGGGCCTTTTCCAGCACAACTGGGGCTACTTACCACTGTTCTAGCAAGGAGAGAGATTCGCAGGTGTAAAAGAAAGCTGTTAAAACCTACTACCAACTGACTATTTCTTAGAAGTAATCTTTTTTTAAAAAAAGTATTCAGAGATGAGGGAATTACAGGACAAAATGGTAAGCACGCACAGTGCTGGGTATCAGAAGCCAGAGGAATCTGTCCATTCCTTACTGTCTCTGTATCATCCCTCAGTCTCCACACTTGGACCTGCTGGAGGAGGCAGGTGGCCTGAGCGTCCAGGATCGAATTGGTAGTGCTGGTGGCACCTGCTCTTCCCTGACCTCTACGGCCCCATTCCTGTCTATAGAGTGGGGATCCCCTGTCCTGACCCAGTCACACCTGCAGGATGCTTGGAGGCGGGAGGACCCTGGGGTGCTTTGAGGCTCCCCACTCCTCCCCGTGGGGGGTCTCCCAAGACCCTGGCTTGTACCTTGTGCATCCAGCCTCTTGTCAGCATAGACCTTATAGGTGAAGGCATGCCGCAGGGCCAGGGCCGCAAAGAACATCTCCACACAGATGATGAAGTCTTGGTAGCCGGCAGCCACGGTGCCCTCGCCCACCGACACACGGGCCGAGTGGATTTTGGGGATGGCCCCACACTTCTCCAGGATGGCCAGGAGCATGCCTGGATGAGGAAGCATGGGTGTCTGGACCCAGACTGGTCCCTTTCTTCCACAATGCCCCACCCAGCTGCCCACACACCCCACTAAGGATGGACGCAGGGCCACAGCTGCTCCTGTAGGGCAGGGGTGGCGACACAAGGCCACAGCCTCCAGAAACCCCACTCTCCCAGCTCTTTGCTGGCCACCGAAACTGAGATGTCAGCAATTACGCAGGGTCCCCTGGGTCCTCCCATCCATGTAGTTGCCCTGCCAAAGCTCTCCCTAGCCCTGGGAAAGGCCCTCGAGGGCTCAGATTTCACCCCCAGCAAGTGCCCAGTGGGCTGAGGCCCCTCTGAATAGGCCCCACGGGCACCAGGGACCATGAAAAGAAGGGGCAGCAGGAAGCACAGAGGACAGGGCGGCACAGGCAGCCTCGAGGCTCTGGGAGGCTCACCTTGCCAGAAGGAGAGAAAGATGACGGATTTGACCATGAAGAACTTGAGGACAGGGCTGTAGGGGCTGAGCAGCTCCCGGGTGGCGAAGTAGAAGAGGAAGAGGGCGTAGAGGGCCAGGCTGACGGAGATGTTGTAGATGATGGTCACGTAGAGGTAGCCACTGGTGACGCTGTGGGACGGGGAGCATTTTCTGGCTGGGACAGACCCTTGGAGGGAAGGGGCTCTCCTCGACTGCACCACACACCATCCCCATGGTACTAAGTCCCATACTCCAGCAGAGCTCACGGAGTCACTGAGGGGTTCGGAGGGGGTGGTCAAAGCGACAGGCTGGGTGGGGCTGTATGGGGTGTGCCCACAGGCCAGGCCAGCTCTGCTGCCTCTGTGTGGCCCATGGACTTGTCTAAGCCCTCGTGCCCACACTCCTAATGCCAGACACCAGTGTGGAAGCCAGGGCCAAGTGGGAGGCCACAGTCTGACAGTCATATAGATACAACAGGTGTCAAAGTAGGTGACACTGCTCAGCTCTGCTGCCTTTTCACTGCCGCATGGTCACTTCCACTAAGTCCAGGTTGAAATGCGTGTGGACAATTTACACAGCAGGGGCTTTGTGCCTGTGGACTTGAGCTGACCTCTTGGGGCTCTGACCCTCTTGCTCCCTGCCTCAGCAGTGGTCACTGTCCCTTTGTGGCCCATCCCTTTGTGGCACCACTCTGTAGCCTGGACATGAATGTGACTACTGCCAGTGGCTTACTCCTGGGCCAGCAACGGGCTCAAGTGCAAGGGTGTCCACTGCCAGGCTTGGAGTGCGGGGGGCATGAACACCAACCACCCAGGAAGGTCATCACTGTGCGGCTACTCTGACCACCCCCTTCCCTGAGCCAAGACACTAGCCTGTGCCAACACTCCTCCCACACACCCCAGGGAGCACCCGCTGCTTACTCAAAGTCCCCATCCCGGTACTTGCCGAAGGCCTGGAGGACCACCGTGCTGACCGCCATGAGTGGCTTCACCACACAGAACTGCAGGGTGGCCTGTCAGGGCAAAAGGAGGTTGAGTGTGGAGGAGGAGTGCAGAAGGTGAGAAGAAAGCCCTGCCTCTGGCAGCCGGAACTGTGCTGGATGCAGGGACACAGGGGACCGAGCGAACAGAGGGACGGAGAGGACGGAGGGATGGAGGGGATGGAAGGATACAAATGGAAGGGACAGACAGGATGGCTCCGTGTCCTGCTCCCAGGGGACTGCTGTCTGCGAGGGGCGGGGGCAGAACATACAGGAGATGCCAGTAGCACAATGCCGTGTGTGAGAAGATGCGCATGTGGAAGAAGGAAGGAACGGTGCCACAGGGCATGATGGAGGCGGGGGACAGGAGGCGCACACGAGGAAGCTTCTCCAGCCAGGACCATCAGAAGGGTGCTGGAGACAAGAGGCTCAACAGGCAGAGGGAGCAGCTCCCACAAAGGCCCCAAGGCAGAGGGTGGACAAGGGCAAGGGGCTGCGCACTAGAGAGGGGTCAGAGGAGATGGGCAGGGCCAAGTCCTAGAGACCCTGGTGCCCAGGGCAAGGCCGGGACCCTGCTCAAGGAACCAGCCGCTGGGCAGCAGGCATGCATGAGGGCCTCCTCCCATCCTCCATGTCCACCCTGTCTAGTTCCTGGCCCCACTCTCTGGGCCTGGGTCCAGGGTTTATGGTGAGCAGAGCAACCTACAGGAGCCCAGCGCATGTGGACTCCAGAGCCTGGAAATCTCAGTTTGAATTCCAGGGACAGTTTGGGCAGTCACTTGGCCTCTGAGCACAGACTTCCTGGTGAAAAGGACATAGTCACTTCCCACACCACAGGGCCACTGCTTCAGGGACGGCAGAGCCAGAAAGCACAGTCTTCTTGGGAGTCTCCCACCTCTGTGCAGGCATTAATGCCACCTACTAACTAGCTGGCTGAGCCAATGAAAGAAATCCTTAGCCAGCTTTTCCCGATTCCCTACAGAGGCCCCAGTAAACTCAGGGGGTACCCACAGTGCCCATAACATCACTAGTATCACCATTACCTTGAAAGCAAATAAATCTAAGCCCTAAGGCCCCTTCTGAGGAGCTGGCGGGTGGTTAATCCAGTCCGAGCCCAGCTAGTGTAGCTGCGAAGAGGATGAGGAGCCTGGAGCAGAAACCGCGGCCTGTGGAACCTGCAGCTTCTGCCCCAACCAGGGATCTGAGCGGAGCTTGAATGGGAGCCCCAGACAGCCCACACATGGAGCTGTCACACGGAGAGGCATGTGTGATGAGGCAGACATGTAGTCCCACTCTCAGAAAGCCCCACAGAACGTCCCTGGCCCTGTCATCCCGCCTAGAGAAAGTGGGGCTGGCACACTCTAGGAAGAGCAGCAGTTTGTTATGAGCCTGGCAACAGGCTGGTGCTTCCCTGGGTGAGCTCACCTGGTACTCACGACAGCCCCTTGACATGGGTGCTATCATTATCCCTAGGGTACAGATGAAGAAACTGAGGCACAGAGAAGCAGAAGCAGAGCCCAGGCCAGTAGGCCCTAGAATCATCGCCTGACCACACCCTGGACCAGTCAGCAGTTTCCAGGCTGGGCTGGACATCAGAACCACCAGGGGAGCTGTAGACACGTGCCACGATCCAGGGCTCCATTCCAGACCTTCTCCTGCGGGCTGGGATAGGGGGTAGCTGATCTGGGAATCTCTACTTAAAGTAGGAATCTCTCCAGATCTGGATATTGAGTGCTGGCCCTGAGGAGTCGGAGGCTTGTCTCTGTGCCCCCAGGACAAAGCTGTGGGGTGTGTTCTCTCGGCCTGGTAAAGAAAGAGGCCTCTTTTGTTCTCTTTCTTCTTCTACCTCTCCCTGCCACCTCCAGGAACAACGGCAGAACATCTGAGCCCACAGGGCTGGGGAATCATTTCTAACAAGGCCACACTAGCAAGCAGTCATGAAAGCAAAACTTTGTAGACAATACAATCATCAAACAAGGCAGTGAGTCACAGCTGGCCGGAACCTGGGTGGCTGCACCAACTGGTAAACAAGGGCTCTCCATGCCCCACCCTGAACCCAGGATAGTTTTAACTATTTCCCTGCAGATCCAGTGGTGAGATTCTGAATTTAGGAACATGCTAGGGGAGAAGATCTGGAAGTAGAACTGGAGACTTGGCATGTGCCATTAGAGGCTTTGTGGGTGTGTCCGCCCTGTGGCCTGGGCCCTGCACAGAAGGGAGCAGCAGGCTCTGCCCTCCAGGGCCACAGTGACTTGGCTATGGGTTTCATGTCCTTTTGTGACTATTCTTGGCGAAGCTGGAGGGGCTGACATGACAGAGCCCCTGCAGAGCCCCAGAGAAGACTAACAAGGTCATGAAGGGTAGGCGAGCCCCTCAGACTCTGCCTCCCTCAACAGAAGGCTGTGGGCTCCACCACACCAGGCTGAATGCACTACATCCATTACCTCATCTGATTCTCACAACCATCTCTTGGGAGGAGTATCATTACACTCGTTTTACAGAGGAGGAAACGAAAGCTCAGAGAGGGTAAGCCAATTATCCAAGGTCACACAGTCAGAGAAGAAGCTGGGAATCAGGCTCAGATGGTCAGACACCTAGGCCTACACACTCAGCGACCCCACCACACTGCCTCCACCCAGGTTACTCTAGATCACAGGGAGGGCAGCCCAGCAAGCTAGAGTGGCTGCACTGCCAACCAGGAAATGCAGGGAGAGACAGGAGACACGGCACAGGCCTGTTCTGTCATGTGTCTTTAATGCTAAAACCCTCCTGCCCCCTAGCTGCAGCTGATGAGAAGTTTTCAGACGGACAATCTAGAATCCCCGTGCACTTCTGATTCTGACACACACCAAGACTTGGTCACATGAGCAAGTGTCTAGGATCAGCTCCTGCACAAAGTACACCAGACACTCCCAGGATGCCAGCTGCTGCCCCTCCAAGCATACCCTGCTAATGTGGTGCTTTCCTAATAGCTTGGGGGGTGGGTACTGGGGGCCTGGCGTGCCTCATAGGAAAGGGGACCTCCACAGGTGGGGCCAAGGGCAGCCCACGGTAGGGCCTTCTGGTCCCCACCCTGCTCCTCTTGACCTAGGCAGCTGCTGGGGACACACACCTGTTTGCAGAAACGCAGAAATCCGATGGAATAAGTCTTTCCCCAGAGGCAGCAGGTGCCATACACACAGCTGGACCTGGAAGAGACAAGCACAGGAAAGGAGGCGGCGGTGAGTGAAGAGCAAGGACTTGGGAATGGTGAGGTGGGGAAGGCCGCCCTCCCACACATCCAGCTGAGCTGGGGCACAGATCCCGGGCAGCCTTTGAGCCCAAGGCCAAGCACAGGGAGAGGCATGGCAGAGCACCTGCACATGCCGTAGGCAGAGGGACACACGGCTGCTCTGGCCCTGGGCTGACAAACCAACTTGGAGAGCTCTGAATGTCAAAACTGCAGGAGGAAGAAACAAACAGGAAAGCACTAAGACCAAGACAGGAAGAGAGCGAGAGAATGAGCCGCTGGGGCCCTCCTGAGAGCCCAAAAGAATGGCGCTGCTCAGGAAATGTGGCGAGGCACAGCATGTCGAGGTCATGGGTGGAGATGGTCTGTGTCCAGCTAATGCCAGGACAGCTCAAGGTACACCAGGCCCAGGAAACGGGGTGGATGAGGGCTCCGGGAAGACTCCATACTCACTCAATGGGTTTTCCTCTGATCTCCGACATGATGGCACTTTCTCCTCCTAGGTACTCATAGCACAGGCTCAGGAAATTATAGATGACCAAGGCTGCGAAAAGAGTGTCCAGGGAAAACCAGTCAAATCAGCAGAATGGGTCCACAGATGCCGGGATTCTAAACAGCAATGGAGGTGAAAGAGCCACAGCTGCACGTGGCAACAGGGAGGAGCCTGGGGGACATAGGGTTGTGTAAAAGAAGGCTGTCAAGAACACACACAGCGATGGCCGGGCATGGTGGCTCATGCCTGTAATCCCAGCACTTTGGGAGTCCGAGGCGGGTGGATCACGAGGTCAAGAATTCAAGACCAGCCTGGCCAAAATGGTGAAACCCCATCTCTACTAAAAATACAAAAATTAGCCGCCTGTAATTCCAGCTACTCGGGAGGCCGGGGCAGGAGAACTGCTCGAACCCATGAGGTGGAGGCCGCAGTGAGATCACGCCACTGCACTTCAGCCTGGGCAGCGAGTGAGACTCCACCTTTAAAAAAAAAAAAAAAAGAACAAACACAGCTGATCTTCCACTCCTAAGTTCAAAACCCGGCATGCCTAAATTATCTTATCCAGGAATGCACCCCTACACTGGTATAACACTATAAAGAGAGGCAAGGAAGGGGCTGCCATGAATTCAGGGTTATGTGGGGAGGCTGGAGGAGGCTGAGATAAGGGTGGGCACCCAGGTGGTTTGGGAGGGCTGGCAGTGTAGACCCTGGGGTGAAACGGTATTGGCTTTATTAGTTTTTCCGAGAACAGTGGCACGTGCCTGTGGTCCAGCTACTCAGGAGGCTGAGGCAGGAGGACGGCTTGAGCCTGGGAGTTCTGGGTGTAACGTGCTATGTCGATCTGGTGTCTGCACTGGGTCTGGCAGCAGTAGGGTGACCTCCTGAGAGTAGGGGGTCACCAGGTTGCCCAAGGAGGGGTGAACCAGCCCGGGTTGGAAACAGAGCAAGTGAAAACTCCAGATTGGGATCGCACCTCTGAATAGCCACTGCACTCCAGCCTGGGCAACAGAGCGAGACCTCATTTCTGATATATTTATATATAAATGTTTGTCTTACATACTTGTGTGTTACAAATCACAACTTTATAAGATAATAACAAAACAGTCTACAAAAATCTTGGGAGAAATTCCAAGTAGGAATGAGAGAGCAGAAGCTTCATCCAGTCAACAACCTGTAACAGTATCTGGACTATGCACAGCACTAGGAGCTACAACAAAGCACATAGGAAGCACACGGAACACAGTGCAAATGCCTCGGGAAGCTCGGGCTGCTCATCCTCAACTGGGACTCAGCTCAACATCTCCACAAAGACTCAAAATTTGCCACAGGGAGTGATGGCACAGCAAGTCTGCTGTAAATGTTGAGGCTATAAATACAGCAACATGCTGTAACGGGTCTTCTGGTCAGGGGGTTTCTGCTGGGTCAGCAAAACAAAGGTTGCTGCCTACAGGGTGCTAGAGGCGAATGGACACGCCAGGAGGGAGAGGAGAGAGTGTGGAGAGGAGGAGGAAGAGGGGCACAGCAGAGGGCATCCAAAAGAAAACCGCACAGGGGGAAGAGCCAGGGTGAGGACATGGGAATGAGGATGGGCATCCAGCATAGGCACAAGGCCAAGGGGAAGGGCAGAACAGGGTCAGGGGAACAGGTCGAGGCAGTCGAGGCAGCCATGGCAGCCCTGCAGCCAGAGGGCTCCTTATCCAATCCTGCCAGCCTCTGCAGCGCAGAGTCCTCTAAGGCTCGCTGGTACCATTCAGCTTGGCACTTGGTCTTTCAATGGATGACCTGGTCCCTGCCCATGCTCCCCTCACTCCCGAGCAGCACTAATGCTGCACGTTTCTCCAGGGCAGTTTCCCCACCCCTCAGTGCTGCTGCACTCCCAGATCCCACAGGCCACAGTGCCCTTCCTGCTATACTCCCAGGAACCATCAACCCCAGCTGGGATGGCGCCCAGTGTGAGAGGTCCCGGTGACCATTGTGGAGGCGAGTGCCTCCTACCCACGGAACCTGATTTGCAGGAACCCCAGTGCTTCCCATCCTATGTCATAATGACAACTGGTCTCCCTCTCTCTCCTTTCTCAGGACACAGGTGCCACTCATGGCATACCCAGGGCACACCACAAATGTTTCACTGACTGAACTGGAGCATGGAAAGCCCTGGCGATGTTTTTTAGTCAAAGTTGGCCTTCAGCAGTTTGGAAAGGAATGCATTTGCAGCATTTTACACCACTCACAGTTACCCTAATCCATTAAGAGCTCCCATCTCCAGGTGGCACCCCCAAGTATATATCCCCCAGCACTAACCAAGCCTTGTTGTGACTGTCCCTTCACCCTTCACATACATACAGCAGAGGTATGCGATGTGCGTGAGCCTCTTTGGGTTCAGTTTCCTCATCTATCAAAGGGGATCACAGGAACAGCAACTTGGCAGGTGGCTGTGGGGTATGAGCATGAAGATGCTCAGAAGCGTGTCCGGGCTCGCTGCACTGGGTGTGGGCTGTCACGACCATTACTGTGTATCTGCTGCCTGCAGGCCCAGAAGCTCCCTCCCAGGCGAGCCCATCCCTGCAGGCCACTCCCAAGAAAGGCCTGGCGCCTGGGCTCATGTCCTTTCCTGCATCAAAACACATGTCGGCCGTCAGTACGCTTTCCAATTACATGGCCAAGGTCCATCCGTAACCAGCTCTGCACACAACTGATCAGAATCATCAAATGTCATCGTCTCTCTTAGTTCAAGATTCTTGACCTTTTGCAGGTGCTCTGGGGCCAGTCAGTCTGTAAAATACCAATTTGCTGACAGTTCCCTTTCAAGAATCATTAGTGAGTCGATAATGGATTCCCTAATACTCAGAGAAGTAAGACGAGACAGAATCTCCTCAGACGTGATGCAACCAGCCCAAACTCAACCCCACTGACCATCTGGACACATCAGTCACCCTCCTACGAAGTACAGAGCCCTGTGAAACACCACCTCCAACATCCCAGCAAAGGTGTTTAAAACGGAAAACTCAACACACCCCTGGAAACAAACACAAAGGCGCATGCCCTGGATATAAGAGCGGAGTTGAGATGGGGCTGAAGGGAGGTGCTTGGCCAGCAAGCTCACTGCCCACCGCCCCTCCCACCACGGCTCCAGTACCAGACCCCAGAGACGCCTCAGAGACACAGAATGACTCTAACCTCCCTAACTATCCACCACAGCTGGTGTGCCAGGCTCTGTGCTAAGCCCTGGGGACTCATAAATGACCAAGGAGCCCTCGGGCCAAGTCCAGAGAGCAGCAACCAGCGTGAGGGACCAGAGGGCCTCTCTCCTGGCCTGGACAATCAGGCTGTGGCTTCTCTGGAGGGTTTTGTCTTGGAGACTGGAAAGCTGATGGCCTTGGGGCCAGTCTCTGAGAGGAGCTCCACCAGCGTTGGAATGAGAGTAGGCTGAACCCGCCCACCCCACATGGAACTTTCTGCTCCATTCTAGACGCCAAATCTTCAACTAGAGACAAATGCACACTATCAGGAGAGAAGCACCAGGATGAACACAAAACAAGGACAGTGTTGAAGGTATCAGGGGTCACTCTCTTCATAGACGTGACAGGCACCTTGTTCCCAGGGTCAGACAGGACCCACATGGTCCCGGGGCGGATCCCAGAAGGACTTCCGCTCAATATAAAAAACTATTTCCTTTTTTTTTTTTTTTTTTGTGGCAGGGTCTCACTCTGTTGCCCGGACTACACTGATGCGATCATAGCTCACTGCAGCCTTGACCTCCCAGGCTCAATCGACCCTCTGACCTCAGCCTCCTGAGAAGCTGGGACTATACAGGCATGTGCCACCATGCCTGGACAATTTTTGTGTGTGTGGTTTTTTTTTTGTAGAGACAGGGTTTCACCATGTTGCCCAGGCTGGTGTTGAACCCCTAGGCTCAAGTGATCCACTGGTCTCAGCCATTCAAAGTGCTGGAACTGCAGGTGTGAGCCACCACCCGGCCTGAAAAAAACCCCTTCTGATGGGCAGAGTCCAGAGATGGAAGGTGTGAGCTTGCTGCCAGCAGAAGCAATCAGGCTGGGCAACCCCTCTGCAGACTTTCTCAAGGGGTCCCTTCCAAACCCGAGGCTCCAGACTTCTCCCTCGTGGCTTTCCTGTCCTTTCAGATCCTGTTTATTCCTGTTTCTTGCCACCCCAAATGCTGCTTCTGCCCTTTCCTCTACTGGCTTCTTTTGAATGGCTTTCTTTCCTCATCAGCAGCTCCTTGAGCCTGAGTAGGAAGCTACAGTCCAAGAGACTGCTCCCCACCCAGCCTCTCGGTGGCCCTGTGACCCTGTAACTGCTACAGGACCCAGCAGTTCTAAGGCTTTGCACGTTCACACCTCCCCCGCCGCCTGCCACCACCATCCCCCCACAGGGAAGGAACTATCCCCACTTATGGAAAAGGAAATTCAGGCATGGAGCACTTAAGACCTTTGCCCCAAGAGCCCCTGGGCTTTGAGAAAAGACTCAGTACTTGCCCTCCCACGTTTCTGCCCGCAGCTTCCAGGGTCAGGAGGCAGGCATATATATAACTCACTGTAACTTCAGTACACACTTGCTGTGCACCTACTGTGAACCACACACTGTGTGTGGGACCTTGATGACCCTGGGCACACTGGGCCATTCTAAGCTCACCTCTTGTGCACACCTTCAGCACCTAAAGCTGGCCTCATACCCCTTCACTCTGCTGCAGAGCAACACTGGTTACTTGGTTATTCTATTTCCGATAACTGGTGGGTGAGCCTGGAAAAGTTAATTTTGCCCGCTTTAGGCTGAAATTTTCTCTGCTCAGAAAACAGGGGCCTAGCTTGTTTAAATTTTTATAAAAGTTTAAAGTTAAAAAGAAAAAGAAAAGAAGACAGAGGCCTCAGAACATTCTTCGACGCTTTTTCAGTGATGGGTGATCATCCTGGACAAGAATGGGCGCAGTGTGTTGCAACCAAGGGGGCAGGGTCTGCACAGCACAAGTGACCCCAGGGTCTAGCTGGGCCAAACGGCTCCTCCCCTCCTCCCTCGTGGCTTTTTTGTCCTCT